AAGGCTTGTCAGCGTTAGTGATACAGAGTGGTGCGCAGACTTGCGGTGCGAGCTCCGATCAAGGGCAAGATTGAGGAGCAGTTATACCTGCTCGAGTCGATGGTGCCGGAATGGCTCACTGTGGTGCTCGACAGCGGCAAAGAGTAAATCAAGATTTCAACCAGCTGCAAATACAACACCGTTAAGGCCTCATTACGTCGCGCTATCTCCGTCGAAGCCTAAGTTGCAAACAGGATACAATCCCGTAAACCGAAATTATCGGAATACTGTCGCGTCAGAGCTCGGATATAATAACTATAATATAATAATTGTGTTATTATATTGCGGAATAACGTATTATTGGAAATATCAGGTTCCCGTAAAATATCCAATATCATCCGTAATAATTGTATTGACTTTTTACCACAAGGAAAAAAAGTGACAAGAGTAAATCTGGTTGATGAGCAAGACTATATCGAATGGTTGGCTCCACAGGTCTTACCCGAGGTCTGCATCATCTCATGACTGCTCGTTCTCAATTCTGACAAATACAAGCACATGTTCTCCTCTCGAGTGATTCAAGCTTCTTCTACACCGACTGCGGTGTCGGTCAGTTCTCCTGCAAGCTATGCAGAAACGTCCGCAAGCAAGCCTCTGGAACAGGCTACACCAACCTTATCAGCCGTCTTAGAACGAGCCACCAGGGGTACAGTGAAACCTACGAAGAAACCCAGCGGAATAACGATACACTCGAATCCCATGGCTTCGCCGATCAGCGGACGATGGAGATCTTCAAGTGGATGGAGTGGGTGACTGTTCGCAATCAGGCACTAAGCAAGGTTGACGATCCGCCGACGCACTCGTTGATTAATACCATGCCTATCTCATCGAAAGCTCTGCTGCGCTGCATGCGCCACGTGGCCACCAAGGTACCAAATTTCTCGCCCATGTCGACCGCAATATTAGGGGCGCGAATTGCGGTCGACATGGGCGAGAAATTTGGTGTCCTGTTCGATGGCTGGGCATCGGGAACGCTGCATTTCGTCGCTGTCTACGGGCTTTTCTCCAAAGGCGTGTTCTACATCAAGCGCTGCTTGCGGTCT